AAAGAAAGAAAGAAAAAGTAAGATTCAAGATGGAGAGTACGAGAAAAAAGAAAAGAATTGGAGGAAAGTGATAGAGGAAACGATGTTGCCAGAAAGAAAAGAAAGGCAGAAAGAAAGGCAGAAAGGAAAAAAGAAAGAAAGAAAGAAAGAAAGAAAGTTGTTGAAAGAAAAAAGAAAGAAAGAAAGAAAGAAAGAAAGAAAGAAAAAAGTTGTTGAAAGAAGATTCAAGATGGAGAGTACGAGAAAGAAAGAAAAAAGAACTGGAGGAAAGTGATAGGAGGAAACGACGTAAAGAAAGAAAGAAAGATTCTAGATTGAAAGTATGATAAAGAAAGAAATAAGAAAAAAGAAATAGAGCAAAGAAACAAGTGAAAAAGACGTGAAGAAAGAAAGAAAGAATGAAAGTAAAAAAGAAAGAAGAGTTAGAGAAAAAAGAAAGAAAGAAAGAATGAATGACTGAATAAATGAATGAATGAATGAAAGAAAGAAGAAAGAAGGATCAAAGAAAGAAAGAATGAATGAATGAATGTAGAGTCAAGATGGAAAGTAAGAGAAAGAAAGAAAGAAGCAGAGCAAAGAGACAAGGTAAAAAGCCGTGAAAAAAAGAAAGAAAGATAGAAAGAAAGAAAGAAGGAAAGAAAGAAGAGAAAGAAAGATAAAGAAAGAAAGAGAAATTTATCGAAATTGCAATAGAGAAAAATGTCGGAAAATACACAAAAAAAAAGATTACGTAAGGCAATATAAGAAAAAGCTTAACAAATGGAGACTGAAAAAAAGATGGCAAAAATTTTATTCGGAAAGAGGCAGAAAAATCTATGACGTAATGGTGTTGTACAGTTTACCCACCCCAAGCGTCAAGCCCAAGGTGTCAGGGGTGTGACTGTTTCCCCGACCTTCTATCATCACAGTCACAAGTATTTTAGAAATCACCCAATCTCTCGTAACAAACTCTTCGCCATCGTTGACATCATTCCAATTGTTTACCACGAGCCTCGTCTTTAAAGATCAACCCACCACCATCTCCACCTCTTCATTTGTGTTAAAATGTTCACATTGTAGGGGATGCCTTAGAATATGTCTCTGGAAAGAGAAGAGAAGAGTTGGGTGCCGGCTTGTCCATCAAATGACGTGGGGCCTCTTAAATTGATGTCTTGAGAAGTCGAGATATGGAACAAATACAACAGATGGTGTGTTGTCAAGGGACACACTGGCAAGAAAAAGTAAACAGAAATATGGCGGATGAGAGATGAAGGACTTGAGAAAGCTGAAAAGAAAGAAGCTGAAAAGAGGGTCGTTATGGAAAAGAAAGAAAGAAAGAAAGAAAATAAGAAAGAAAATAAGAAAGAAAGTTACAAAGGAAAAAAGAAAATGAAAATGAAGTAACACTGATAGAAAAGAAAAAAAGAAAGAAATGAAAATAAAGAAAGACTAAAAGGAAAGAACAAACGAAAGAAAGCAAGAAAAGAAGAAAGGAATTAAGAAAGAAAGAAAGAAAGAAAGAAAGAAAGAAAGAAAGAACGACAGAAAAGAGAAAATGAAAATAAACAAAGACTGAAAAGAAAAGAAAAAAACGAAAAAGAAAGAAAATTTGACGGAATAAAGAAAACCAGAAAGAAAGGAAGAAAAAAAAAAAAAAAAATGACGGAAAAAAGAAAGAAAAGAAACGAAAGGAAGAAAAAAAACTGAAAATAAAAGAAGAAAAGAAAAGAAAATGAATGAAAAAGAAAGAAAATTGGACGAAATAAACAAAAGAAGAAAAGAATAAATAAAGAAAATGACGAAATGACGAAAGAAAGAAAATGAAAATAAACAAAGACTGAAAAAAGCGAAAAGAAAGAACCAAAGAAAGACCTTCTTCTTCTTCTTCTTCTTCTTCTTCTTCTTCTTCTTTCCCTTTTTCTTCTTCTTTCAGTCCATATAAAGTAAAGGTAATTTCTTATTCGCATGAACGAGCAGTACCAATGCCTTATCAATCAACAGGTTGATGATTTAAACAGTTTTCTGACCAGGACCGCCATTACGCGCCCTTTCAATAAGAACGCAACCTAACCCTTGTAAATATCAGATGAAAGTCAAAGACTCTCATAGAATACAAGAACGATAACTCTTACGCGCTAATGGACATTCCGAGTCGAACATTTTGATTAGGGCTCAATTGAATCGAACAATAACGATCAGTGTCTTTGCTGCATAACGAATAAACAGCACGTATGACGGACTGCTGAACGCTATGCGTACTGCATGACTTTAGTCATTCCACGTAGTTTCTATATATTTCGATAGGAAACGTCATTTTATTGTGTAAATAGATTACAGCAAATTGAATTTTGCAAGGGCGAATGTCAAGAATTTTTGAACAGATGTAAATTCATTGAAACCTCAACGAATTATTTTATGATACAATTGAAACATATAAAACATTTAACTTAATAAATAGATATATCTTCATGAAAACAAATTTTTATAGGGTAAATCACTAATATCTTGCGTCTTAGGAAACACGTCAGTAATATACTATATATATATATATATATATATATATATATATATATGAAGAAATACAGTTTGAAGGTGTGCTATTTTTTGGGATATAAAAAGCTTAATATCAGAGATAGAGTGTATGTAAATATAAATATAAAAGTAAACATTGAAGTTAAGACTTAGAGGCGACAGGCTGTTTTATGCTGGACGCAAATCGTCAGACTGCGAATGTTGATTTTTCTCATCTATTTACATATGATTTAAAAAGTGCTGGTTATTTTTTTGCGGGAGTATTTGTTTATTTATTTATTTGTTTGGGTTAAGTTATTTTACTTGTTTTACGTTTCATTTTAAATTATATATATATATATATATATATATATATATATATATAAAGAAAGAAAGACGTTATAGTGGTTCCAACGAGAGAAAAGTGTGTATATTAAAAAGAAGAGAGATACCGCAAACGTATTTGGTTGTAATGTGGATTTTTTTTTTAAATATTACGTTTTACTTTCCATAATTTCACTACACGCGTTTCTGATCTCGTGACCCTCATCAGGTAAAGGGTGGAGATTTCCTCATATTATTAAAAATAATTAATTTTTTTTCTCCTTTATGCTTTTCGATGCTAAATATTCTCGATATGAAGCATTCTATTTTGTGTGTGTGTGTGTTAGTATTCCGAATGTCTTTTTTTTTAACTGCCAGTGAAGAGTTCTGCGCGGAGGATCATAAAACAATTAAGATTGGTCCGAGAAATGATGAATTAGTTGTCGGTATCTTATCTTTTAATGTTTTAATGACCCCCGTGTTTTCTTAGATCTGTTTCCATTTTCGTGTGTTTCTGTCAGCATGCCTGTATATATGTGTATATTCCCTCTCCATACATAAACACACTCGGATTGTGAATGCCACACATTTTTAAAGAATTCACAATTTCTGGTCAAATATTATCCCATGCTTGCTTCACCCATTCGCAGACTTGTGCAATGCTGGGTCTTTTTATTCTTCCTCTAAGTGCAATATCGCGATCAGGCATTGCCATCCACGTGGTGTTCCATTGCTCCTTCATGTTTAAGTCTAAGCTAATAGAAATTGCCAGGTAGCTAATTTCGGCCGACTAATGCAAATTTTAAACGTACATATCTTTAGTTAAAAAAAGAAAAAAAAGTGCGCCTCATATGCCGTCAAATACAGTATTATAAATATTAAGTTATAAAAAAATGAATTCCTCGAAATTTCATGAAATTAAATCAGATGCTACATATATAAAAAATATTTTTTTACCAAAATATTCTAAAAAGAAACATTTCTAAAATAATTTAATTCATTTGTGAATAAGTCCTGAAAGTTTCATTAAAATCCAACATTTGATTTTTGCAAGAAGTTCCAAATCAATGTGCTTTTCATCGCAAAAGGACGCTAACATTTCTTATGTTAATTTATGGTCACCTGCTGACGCAAGAAAAACAATTTAACCATAATTTTTAAGGTTATTAAGAGGATTAAAAATATAATTTAATAATAAAAAATCCTTCTGTGTTTCCTCTTAATAAAAATATAAAGAAACTGTCTTTAAATTAAGCAGAATGTATTGACGTTGAACTCTTAAAATGTAAGCTTAGATATTAATACAATACTTAAATGCAGCGATCGATGAGTTATTTTGTAGTTTATTGTTGCTTATCGCATCTACTTCTCCCTACCTATTTTGATGAAGGCCCAATTAAAAAAGCAGGAGCTAGCTTAAATGATGCCTGAAAGGGTGGATTTGAGGCTAGTCATTTAATAAATCGAGTACACACTTTTTATCCTCTACGCGCACAATATTTCTTGAACGCAAAAATATATAACACATATTAAGTAAGAGTAATTTGCCTAATCAGATAAGTAATAACCCTGGAAAAATAAAATGACACGATAATACAAATAATCATAATAGCACAAAATACAATCCTAAATTATTGTCCAGGAACTTAAAAATAGATAGAAAAAAATGAAAGAAAACTAATACATACCAGCTATCAACAAAAACAAGCAAATTAAACTTATTACATGTTACAAAAAACGAACCTCCAACGTGATAACCACAAACAATGCAACAAAAAAAAAAATTCTTCAGCATACTGTCTATGAATTCGCTTGCCCACCTGAAGAATGTCATTCTAATAAGAGTAATTAAAACAACGAATACATTGGTTACATAACCATTACTTTATCGCGCTAGTTAACGTATCATTTATTTGATAAGAGTTCAATTAATCCGCAATTCAAAAACCAATACAACAACAAAACAAATTCTTAAGTGTACACGAAAATGCTCTATCATATAAACTGAGAAAAAACAGTAGCATTACGAAAATCCTTATGAAAATCAAACAACTTCAATAAAATGTTATTAAATTAAGAAAGATGCTTAATATATTTTATAAATAAATAAAAAATGACACAACATGAATTGTTACGTGAAGACGCGAAGATGCGATATCTGAGAATGATGAAACCTATATAGAACAAAAAATTAACGTTTTTGATAACGGCCTATCAAAGCCAGAAGTACTGAAACATTGAAAAATTTATATTTTAATGTTCAACTGTAAACCAGGATAATCATCTAAAAAATATAGAAAAAAATCCTAAACAAAGAAACTCTTGTTGTGCTTTAACCAAACTTATGTAAAAGAATATATCTCCCAAATACACCACACACACACACACACACACACACATATATATATATATATATATATATATATATATATATATATTGTTATCAACAGACATCAGTGTATTTCTAGACGCCTGGTTGCTCTAGCTGGATCGAAACCCTGGTGAATTGGTGTCAGTCGGAGGGATGACGGTGAATTTAAGCGTATATTTATCATCTTTATATATATATATATATATATATATATATATATATATATATATAACAAATTTTAAATTCTCACAGTCCTCTTTCCCTTGGATATATATATATATATATATATATATATATATATATATATATATATATATTGACCAATAATATTCATCTATCTATCTATCTATCTATCTATCTATATATATATATATATATATATATAATGGATTCTCCCGTCGGTTTCGACGTATGAGGATCTGACAGCTTATTGATTCAGTTATGAAATTTTGTGCGATAATCTTAAGTGGCATTAAAAGACCCGCTTGTGATTTACAAAGGAGGCCACATATGGAGCAAGTGTGAGGATTGTGAGATGCGATCACTGTTAGATTGGCTGCCCTTTTAGATCTTGCTCTGTCTTACCATATATATATATATATATATATATATAAGCTGAGTGAGTAATGCTTTGTGACTGTCTCTGTCTTATCAACCTTTGTTTTTTTTCTACCTACATTTATATACGTTACAAATTTAACTTAACACAACTGATTATTAAAAGATGAAAACTTTTCGCCGATTTTGACCACATTGTGTGGTCTTTTTTTTGTTTAAATCTCTGAATTTGTTTTTGCTCATGATACGTCTAGAAAAAACACGATATAAATTTCACTAATTTTAATAGATAATGTTGAATGTTTTAAAATTATTCGAGTTTTTAACAAGAAACATCTGAAGCTGTTTTTAAAAGTTGACGCAAAGCATTGTTGATTTATTTAAGATGGAATCATCTATTATGACAGGTCTCTAATTTAGATACATTTTATTTATTTTCAATTTTTCTAGTTGAATTGTTCACCAATATTGTATAGGATCCATTATTCTACATAATTAGGTTACAATAAAATTTCTGTTTTATATGAATACTACCTTATGTAATTTGGCTGAAGAGTGCATTATAAATTCGGGGTGTGGATACGTGACCCTTGCACTGGCGGTCCAATACATAGATATATATTAATACACAAAACTATAAAAGCATCCGTTGTTTTATAAATTTCGTCTTCGTTTTTGTTGTCTTGAAGCATTCTGTTAAACAAGAAGAAATTATAATGAATTTAAAATTCTTTCATGGATCCGTGCCAATAAATCCACACCCTCTTCATCCCCCCCTCTGCTGCCGATACACTCACACATTGATGCACATGCAGATACACCCACTTTACAACCGATTGCAGTGCTTCGCTAGAAACACATTTAATTTCAATAACCGGTGAATGCTCGGCCATATTTTAAATAATTACTTCGCATAAAAAGCAGGAAGACCGCGAGTTGCGACATTATTCTTTACGTTGCGTAGTCCTCTGTGTCCGTGTGTCGGACATCATTTCTCAGAATAGATTTTAAAAGTGGCGAAAGAAAGAAACAGTCTGACGTCTGGGTGGCGAAGACGCCATATTTATTTAAACATGTCGCCATATTTAAACATGTCGCCATGTTTATTTAAATATGTCGCTGTCGATATTCACTTAAATATTTTTAAGAAATCACTCTTTTTCGGTTCAATGACGCAGTTTAGCCTTCATTATCTTTTGTTTATATCAATCCCTTCAGCCTACAAATGAAGATACAAGCCTTTATTTATCCAATTTGTTTATTCTTCTTCTATGTGCAGTATCCCTTCAGGTTGGGGGTGGTCTCTCCACAGCTTCCAATTTCCCGTGAATCTTAGAAGTGTTTATCTCGTGTACTGTACTTGAATTTGCAAATCTTGCTTCCTCGTGTAAGAATCTGTTGTTAAATGGAACAAGGAGAGGCTTGTTAATTTTAGCGCCTCAAAAACGAAACTGCTTTCTTTTAATCATCTGAGAGAACTCTTTCCACCTTCCATCATTATGGCTGATGCTAACCTCCAGAAGAGTGGCTCATTGATCCTTCTCAGACTAATGTTTTCAGCTGATATGAAGCGTAAAGAGAATATTGAATATTACGTCGTTTATTGCCATATTCACGACATTTCGGCCGTTGTAAGCTCCGGCCTTCTTCCGGATCTGCCCATATTTCTGAGATGACGTATTTTAACTCTTTACACTATTTACATCATTCGGACTGTTTCTCTCATCTTTATTACCATATACACGACGTTTCTGGAAGACATCTTTTGTCCTTCCATTTTATATGTTTATAAGTCTACCATTCGTCCGTGCTTTGAATATTTTTTGCTATATCTACTCTCCTGGAATATGTTTAAAGATTCTTAATAAAATCCAAAGAATATTCTGCATTGTTTTTGGCCCTGACCCGGCATCTCGGCTTCAGTCACTTTTCTACCGCCGTAACGTAGCTTCCCTGTGCCTTTTCTGTAAATACTTTCATGGTAATTGTTCCGAATAAGGTTCCTCTATGGAACCGAGATTTATAAATTTAAGTACAGTACTAGATTGGCAGCAAGGTCTCATTTTATACTTGAATTGGCTAGATGTAACCGTAAGTTCTATGATGACAGTTTCTTCTCTCTATCCCTTGTGGCCCTTACCACTTGTTCTCCCTTTCGTAAGATACACACCCTCATGGCGTTGTCCATTCTCAAAAGCTCATCAATTAAGTGCCTTATTGTCTTACCCTATCGCTCTTGCCCTCAATACGCCCCGTGGGGGTTAAGTTTTCCATGCCTTCCTCATTCATTTTGTGCCCAAGAAATTTCAGTTGTCTTTTTCTGATTTTCAGTCGAATATTGTTTCTGTTAACATTTTTTAAAGACTTATTGCCTCAAAAACAAAACTACTCCCTTTTAATCATTTGAGAGAACTCTTATTAAATTTCCATCATTATCGCTGATGCTAACCTCGAGAAGAGTGACACATTGCGCCTTCTCGGACTAACATTTTCAGCTGACATGAAGTGGAAAAATTTCAATGAATCAATTGCTAAGCCAGCATCTAAGAAAGTTGGTTAACTATGATGTGCTAGACAGTTTTTCTCAATAGAATCTATCTTATAACATTCGTCCTGGATTTGAATATTGACGCTCCTGCTATATATTTAAATATTCTTGATAAAATCCAGTCCAATGTTATAGGTCCTGACCAGGCATCTCGGATTCAGTTCCTTTTCCATGGTCGTAATGTACCTTCTTTTTGCCTTTTCTAAAAATACTTTCATCGTAATTGTCTGATGAACTTTTCGCTGTGGTACCTAGACTTTGGGAGTTTCAATGCACTACTAGATAGGCGGAAAGGTCTCATCATTTTACACTGAACTGACTAGATGTAACCGTAAGTTCTATGCTAACAGTTTCTTCTATCGCAATTCTCAATTATGGAACTTTCTTCCAGCTTCTTGTTTTTCAATCAACTTTGATCTTCAAAAATTTAAATCTCAATTGTTATCTTCTGTCTTCTGAATTTATATCCTTTTATTGTCTTCTCGCCTTAATTGTAGTTTTTCTCACATTCTCGTGAATGCCAAGCGGTACAACACGCAGTTTCGAAATTTTCGGAGGAGTGAATTTCGTTATGGTGCTCTTTTTATCACAGACGGCGCCCAACTGACCCTACTATACTCTGCGGTCGACAAAATAAAAAAAAAACAACGGACATACGCAAAATTAAAAATTTAAAATGGCGATAATTTAACTATCGCTTGACTTTACATATATATATATATATATATATATATATATATATATATATATATATATATATATATATATATATATATTATGCAATACTATTCGATAAAACGAATCAAGTTCTCTCAGTCATTAGCGTGTCCAACAGCTTAGGGATAGATTCACCGACTGACGGCAATTCAGCCGGGTTTCGATCCCAGCTAAAGGTAACCGGACGTCTTTGTCACACTGATAAGCTGTGATACAACGAAACAGTCTGTCTGTGGATGACAATATATATATATATATATATATATATATATATATATATATATATATGTAGAGATAGCTAGCTAGCTAGCTAGATAGATATTTATTGAATACGACTGACAAGGCACAGCGAGTAAGTTTTGTATTTTTTTTTGCATTCATACAAGTCCCCGCCACCCTACCCACCCCCAATACAAAATATTGTCAATTGTAGCTGGTCACTGTGCACCAGAAATTGAATTCATAATTTAGAAAAACTCTGCCATATTACATGACGTGGAGCACATTTGCTCTTTCCGGTGTCCGTCCACAGCAGGTCGATTTTACGAACTGCTTATTTCTATTAATATTAGAAAACTGCCATGGATGCCCTTAGGGGCCTGGTTCTGTTGATAACTTTTTGCTTGAAAGAATTAAGTGGTCGTGGTCCTATTGTTCCGTGAGGCGTTAAGTACTATTTTGTCGCACCGGCTAACTTTTTTTTTTGTTTTGTTTTGGAGGGGGTACAACAATTTTAATTTATTTGCATTATTTGATCTTGTGCGGATGGTTGCTTTTACCCGCTTTAGGTGATTTTAGTTGTTATACGCATGGTATACACGCACTGGCTATATTTTTTCCATCTCAGTCTTGCCTGGGGGAATAAAAGTTTCTCTTTTCGCAGTACAGCTGCTGACCGCCTGACAGTGTGTGCAGGCATGAAACAGACAGTATTGAATCGGTCATTTTTGCACCAGAAATTTAATTCGAAATTTTATATATATATATATATATATATATATATATATATATATATATATATATATATATATATGTGTGTGTGTGTGTGTGTGTGTCGCACTGAAGTCCTGTGATACTGTGAAACAGTATGTCTGTAGATGATTTTATATATATATATATATATATATATATATATATATATATATATATATATAAAAAAAATATGGATATAGATTCGACAGTATGAAGAAAAATATACGGATAAAACAAACAAACATCCTTATATGCAATTATGCTGTTTCAATGTTAATATAATGTCAACGTCGGACGTTTCGGTCTAATAAACCATCTTCAGGACATATTCATAAAATATAATTAACATTATCAATTCAACATGACAAAGACGATGGATATAGGAAACAAGACTTATCCAAACAGATAACTGAAAGTTTTATAAGATCAGCGTTCCGTTCTTATGTCCATCGTCTTTGTCATGTTGAATTGATAATGTTAATTATATTTTATGAATATGTCCTGAAGATGGTTTATTAGACCGAAACGTCCGACGTTGACATATTAACATTAAAACAGCATAATTGCATATAAGATTTTTTTGTTTGTTTATTCCGTATATATTTTTTCTTCCTATATATATATATATATATATATATATATATATATAATGCTCCTAGAATGGTTGATCTCTCTTGGGAAATGGCTGATTTTAAAAACAGTGGGGCCCTACTGATATTAGCGCATTGCCCTTCAACTGAATTGAGCACTCCGGACCACTGGCTACACTACTGCCCGCATTTGTTGACCAACAAGGGTGTTCTATCATTGAGAGAACGACATCGATTTCAGTCCCTTTTTGGAGAAGATCACCAATAAACACTGTGGAGATGGCTTTGTCTGACAAGACATGATTCTTACTCTTTCGAACAAACGAGGTGTTTGATGTTTGGGATGCAGCCTATCAACAGATTCATATGAAAACCTAGTTGGAGTTGTAAAGTGTCATGTGTTTACTGCAGATCTTCATAAAGACCACTAACGAACGTGGAATATGTCTTGATATACAGGAATCCCTCGATTAGCGCGACGAATGTGTCCAGGAATGCCTCGATTAATGCGGCTAATGTGAATATTATAAGATACGCACTAATCGAAATCGCATTAATCGAATATAATAATTTAAGGAAATGAAGTAAATTGTACCTCAAATCTTAGTCTCATTCATAATTAATTTCTAATTTACGTACTTTTTAATTAAAATTTTTGTGCATATAAGAAGATACAATTAAATTACTATGGATTAATGTTCATTAATCTCTTATTAAGAAAACTTATTTAGAGTTCTTGGCCGCATGATATTCTTCTGTTCATCATATAATTGGCAGTTCTGAGAAATTGGCCCTTCAAATTTTGTAAACATATATTCATTGTAATGACAAAAGTACGCAGGTAAAGGCTTTAAGAAAGATTTATTCACATGAGAATACAATGTTCGCATATGGTGTCCTTTTATAGTCCCAGTAAACAGAAAATATTGAGAGAAACAAAGGACAAAACAAAGGGAGACCACTTTTGATTATTCATAACGATCATATCATAATCATTAGTATTTTAAACTAAAAATTTTATTTATAATCTTTTCATAGTAAATACAGACATCTTTTAGATTTTGATATTTCTTTATAAATATAAATTTATGTATCTAATTAAATCATCCATTTTTTTTTACAAAAGAATCAGAAATTTCCTTTTGAGATCTTCAAAATAAAGACGAAAAAATCTGAAAATATTCAAAAATTTTCAATACAGACAAATATTCAAATATGTATTTTTATTATCGGTTTATAATATAAAATGTACCTATATATAATCGTCCAGTTTTAACACTAGTGCAATGCCATTAGTTTTTCGTTCTGATCGAGTTTTCTTTTATCAAGATTACGCACCACACAAATTATGAAGGGGCGGCATGAAAGTGGTTCCAGAATCATTCGTTTGACTTCAAGATATACCATTTTACCACGTACTCGACAGATTTAATCCCCATTGAACACATAGGGAGGGGGATACCAATGACTTCACGAAATTCCCTGTTGTTACACCTGACAGAAAGAACTCGGGAAGCTATCAGACTGCTTCTATCTATCTATCTATCTATCTATCTAATTCATTCTTACATCTATCTATCTCTATCAGTTCGTTCATGTCTGTCTATTTATCTAATCTAAATATCTATCTAGTTCATTCTTACATCTATCTATCTATCTATCTATCTATCTATCTATCTATCTATCTATCTATCTATCTCAGTTCATATCTATCTAATCTAATCTAAATACCATAATCTAATTCATTCTTACATCTATCTATCTATCTATCTATCTATCTATCTATCTATCTATCTATCTATCTATCTATCTATCTATCTATCGCAGTCTTTATTATCTATCTATCTATCTATCTATCTATCTATCTATCTATCTATCTATGTCAGTTCGTTCATATCTATCTATTTCGCCCTGACATCTATTACCCCAAGTTCCTTTATCTTTCTTTCTCTCTCTCTCTATCTCTCTCTCTCTCTCTCGATATATATATATATATATATATATATGTGTGTGTGTGTGTGTGTGTGTGTGTGTGTGTCCTTATATTAGACGATTCTATTAATTATTTATTCTTATTTTTCTACTTTTGATTTAAGAAACATTCATATATCTATCCATCTACCTGCACCCAAATACACCCCATCACACACATTCACACACACTCACCACGCACACACACACACACACACACACTCACAAAATACATACACACTCTCTGTTCTCAGTTATCTTTTGTACACACAGATGTACACGTGCACACTTACACAAAATTATAATGAATGAAAATGAACTGCTGAATGATCTTAAGTGGTACGCTTTACCTGAGGCCTGCTGTGTACGTGTGTATGACTTCGAATCTCAGCTAAAAGAAAGACTTACCTGCTCTCTCTTTTCCTTTCTCTCTCTCTCTCTTTCCCTCTCTTTTTCTCCTTATCTCTCTCTCTCTCTCTTGCGCACGCGCGATAATATATTAATACACCTGCTGCTTTTTAGGTTCTTTCCTTCTAGGACAACAGTAAAAGTTCGAATAGTACAAAATATCTTATTTTAAAACTTAGTGAGTTCGATTAGTGTTTAACTAATGTTTAGTAGGGTTTCATCTCGCTTTTTTCTTTTTTTCAATTTTTTTCTCAATCCGTGTCAATTTCTCTCTCTCTCTCTCTCTGTCTCTCTCCTCTCTGTCTCTCTCTCTCTCTCTCTCTCTATGGAATATATATATATATATATATATATATATATATATATATAGATAATATTAGTGGTAAATATACACATACATATGCAAAATATATAAATATATATACATAGGTGCATACACATACATATATATTTTTTGGAATAAAAAAATTCCAAGAGGATAGAATCCAGGTAGAACTCAATGTCCAGGACAGAGTAAGGATATAATAAAAAGGCTTAAAAACTAATATTATAATAAAAAGTTATAATTTATTCCATTGGAATCGTAAAAATCCATTTTTTAATATGATGAATTGGATCGTATTTATGATTCCAATGGAATAAATTATGACCATGGAATATTAGTGTTTAACCGTTTTAATTATATATATATATATATATATATATCAGTCATTGCAATTATCAGTAAATTAATGTCTATTTATGTACCTCAGTCATAATATATATATATATATATATATATATATATATATATATATATATATATATATATATATATATATACTAGGACTCTCAGTCGTTGCCGACGTATGAGGGTCGAGCAATTCAGTTCCTAGAAACCGGCATCCCGACACCAGCACATGAAATTTGATTATAGTGGTGAATGTTTTGTGTAGAACCATCCAACCTTTTTCAAGGGCCGAATTCAGAGACCTGGTGCACTACGTGCCACAAGGTCCCCAGTCGACCCTCCCTAAGTTTTGAATTCAGAGTTGTCCTTCTCCTAGACCAGTTGCCATCCAGAGCTATAGAGCCTAGTCTGTTCTGTTATTTCCCCATAGGTGGGGGAAAAGAAGGGGATTCATACATTTCCGAAGGGTATTAGCACGTAAGTGAATATAATGGATTCGACTGGATTTCTTAGTCCTAGCCGCTATCTATTACTCCACCGTACCTACAATATATATATATATATATATATATATATATATATATATATATACAGACAACGAATTTCTATTATGTTTGATCATGACCCGTTCCAAACGTTGTATAATGGCTTTAGTTTCAAGAGAAAATAAAAACAAAAACTGTCCAAAATTTGGATATTTCTTTATTATATTGGTCGTCGATCTACCCTTTCGACTCACATGAGCCATCATCAGAATGGTTATATGGACATTACAACAGAGATTTCCAGCGTCAAGGATGACATCCTGTTATGTTTGATATGCAACGATAACGGTCGCAGAATAGCAGATGCAGGTCGTAAATTCACAATGCTGTTCTATGACGTCGTACGTGAGAGAAAGAAATGTTATCACTAGAACCATATGTTTAAATGCATTCTAATGTGTTGTGACTACTTGGAAATGTAATTTTGTTGAGTGTGGGTTGCTTTGTTTTAATGTAGATGGCCTCCATTATCTGAAGGTCCTTTTTACTGTACGTATGTGTGAATATTGTTGTGTTATCAACTAATATCTGTCTAATATTATGTACATGGCTCTGTTTTTCTAAGAAATGTTGTTTAATGGAACAAAGTTCAGAAAGTGACAGGTAAGTCTACGGGAGGGTGTGGTTGTAGTAAAACCAATGTATGTATTGAGTTTATTATTAGTATCAGAGATTCAATCTCTGAACGGGCATGTAAATTGAAATACTACATTGTTTTTTTTTTGTTTTTTGGGGGTTTTTTTGTAGAGGATTTAGTTGTGGGGTTGTAGGATTATTGGCGATTATGAGGTCAATTTTCTTAATTTTTTTATAATATATGTTCAGCTTAATTTTATTGTTATTATTATTATTATTATATATGGCACATTTAGAATATAAAATACTTAATGGCACTAATAAACCCCTTATATATATATAAGATACATTTTTATTTTTGTTGATAAAATTACACAACTTAAAATCAAATTTGAAAGTCATTCTGTCCTCAAATTTAAATTAGAAATGAATATTAATAATAAAATTCCATTTTTTGATGTATTTATTGATTTCAGCACACATAAATTTACTACTTCTTTATATAGGAAACCCACAAGCATTAACTTATGTCTTCTTAATTAAAACAGTAAATGATCCCAACGATATTAGTTAGCTGTTATAAAAAAATAAATTCAATGCACACAAATGATATCTTCTTTCAAAACCATATTTTGTAAATAATTACATAACATTAAAAGACACACGTTTCTAATGGATTCCCTAATTCTGTCATTGATCGACAAAAAAATCTCAAAAAACTTAATAATACCACTAACAAAACTGATAATATTAATGATAATTGTAAACATAGTAGTGTACGTCAAAGTGATAGAAATTAGGAGGATTTGAGATCATTATAATTAAGTAGTTCATCGAGTCTAGAAGAAACCTCAACAGAATGCATAAAGCACTGGACGGCTGTTTCGTCCTATATTTGGGACCCATCAGCAGTATGCATCCACTACCGAGAATTGAAACCCGGACAGTTACGTTAATCAGGCAAAAGTCATACCAACTGTAACAACGAGCCTCGGTGACAAATCAGACTCGATATGGTGCCGCTCGATCACATATTCCGTGGTTGAACTCATCCGAGTTTCTCTTTTACCAATAGGACTCTGTCCCAACGAATCACGACTACTATCCCCAAGCCGATCCATCCAGAAGCTCAATTCAAGCAAGTGATAGAAATTAGGAGGATTTGAGATAATTATAATTAATTAATCGAGTCTAGAAGAAACCGCAACAGAATGAAGAAAGCACTGTATCTTTAGCCAATTTATGCGATTGATTAATCACTTTTTCCCATCATTCAATTCGGCTATTATATTTTCTAAAAAAAAAACAAACAAAAAAAACAAACTGTCTTACATCAATATGGAACCCACACATTTAAATACTCATTGAAAATATACCAACATCAAACGTACATGACTACAAAGTCAAACTGATAGAAAAAAACTTCATAGAGCGCATAAGATGGAGCATATTCTATTTCAACAATAGAAACAACGCAATGTTGACAAGAACATCGATAACACCAATAATATTAACAATTTTGAATTTACATTAATAAACTGCCCACCACAACAAAACGACATCATTGCTTTTGAAAATGTCTTAACAAACATAATCAGTAATTTGGAAATAAAAAAATCAACAATAATTTCCAAAAAAAGACTTGAAAAATATAAAAAAAAATGATAAACAACTCAAAAATTATTTTAAAAGCAGATAATCTATAAAATAGAAGTTAACAATTAAAATAAACTATAAAGAAATCATTAAATTTTACAAAACCACATTTAACGAAACAGAAAATGATATAAACAAACAAAAAAACACTAAACGAAAATTAGACAACAGGTTAAAACAATTAGCAAAGGTAGAACCATTTATTAAATTAAAAGACCATAAGATCAGCTTCACAACCACACCAACATGCAGACTGCTAAACCCAACAAAAAGCAATATTGGGGAAATAAGCAAACAAATATGCTCAAATCTAATAGCATACCTTAAAATTATATTATCATAATTTCCAAAACGACTTTAATAAGATAAAATAAATTATAAACAACTGAAATAAATTATTTATAAAAGCAGATAAAATCTGTATAATCGATAAAATGGAAACCAACAATTACAATAAACTAGTCGACAAAGAAGTCACTAAATTTTACAAAACTACTAATAACGTAACAGAAAATGATATAAGCAAAGAATCTAAAAACATAGTCACTAAACTAAAATTAAACAATAGAATAAAACAGTTAGTAAAATTTGAAGCATTTATTAAATTAAAAGACTATAAGAAAAACTTCACGAGAAAATCAACATGAATATTACGAAACCCCAAAAAATAAGCAATATTGGGAAAATAATAAAAAAATATTAGAGAAAATATGCTAAAAAATATGAAGAATAGTAAACATAAATTAATGGAAAAATACTAAATTGGTTCAAAAACATTAGTAACAAAACAAAACTTCTCCTTTTTACAAATAGACATAAAAATGTTTTATCTATCTATTAATGAACATACATTAAACAACGCATTAAACTTAGCAAGACAACAAATCAATATCCTCACTGAGAAGATAAATATAATGAAACACTTCTAAAAATCAATATTATGCAACAATAAAGAAATAAGAGCAAAATGGCCAAAATAATAATAATAATCATAATAAAAAGAGACGCAAAACCATAAGAACTATAGACCCATCACCTGCCTACCAACAATGTACAAGATCCTCATTTCTATCATAACCGAGAGGACATACAACTTCCTTGAGA